GGCTTCTGCTGGGGAGCCCTGTGATTTTTTTTTTTTTTTTTGATCTCGGGCTTAGCGATTATTTCCCACCAGCGTGCCCTGAAATGTAATTTTTGTTAACTTTAAATACTGAGTGATAATCCTGGCCCAGCAATTGGAAAAACTGACATCAGTTTCCTTCTGCTGTGTAAAGCAAGCCCAATGCTACTTTCAGCCTGTTAAGTTGTTTGCCAGCATAAGGATTTTACAACCCTCTCCGCCGTTTCAGGAGCTAATATGACCTAAATGAAACCAAACATCAAGTTGTTAAGTTAGCACAGACAGGAATCCGGCTGCGTACTTTCTTTGAAATCCTCATTAGCACGTTACCCTGAACTGTAAGATGGCTGAGGGATTCATTTCTGAGAATACTTCAAGGTTTCTCAACAAGCTGCTGCTGCAGATCTATATCTGACTATAGGATAAATCCTAAAATCTATGCTTGCCAGTAAGGTCAAGGCAGCCAGCGGAGATGTATCGAACCACACTGTCAGAGGTAGTCATTTCAGGCCAAACTCATTCCTGGTGCAGCACTGCTAATTCCTTTGAAGTAACACGAGGGATGAATTTAGTCCCTCATGCTGAAAGATATATCAATAGGAAGCAATTTAGATTGGGCCACTTAAAGTGCATGTAATACAAAAAAGAGAGAGAGACTGAGGAGTAATGCTTTAAGGGTTCATAGAGGTTGATTTGTGTAAGCCAGTGAGGTTGTAGCATTGCTGTCCCAAGGGAAAGTTGGGGGAATGGGAAATTGCCTTTTATGGCTGAGCTTCAGGTTAACAGGGGAGAGGAAAGTAGTTTTAGGATTACTGTGTAAATTGGCAGTGTTATAGGCTGCCCTTCCAAGCTTCAGTTGCACAATGGCACCTATTCACCTCGCCCTCTTCCTCAATTATCTGGAGACATACCCAGCTGCAGGGTTTACATTTCCTTCACCGGCTTTCTCTTTTTCACACAATGCACCAAATAATGATGTCTGAGCCCTAGCATCTCAGTTGGGATT